AGTTAAAAAGTTCATTTAGCATACAAAAAAACAAACTCGTACTGGATCTCATCTGATTTTAAAACGTTTCGCCGTCCCTAGGCAGTAGCGTTCTCTTGTTGTATTCTCTTAACTATAACAAATACTGATGTTTAATTTAAGGAACAAGAACGCTTTTAATTTTACACGTCATCGATAATATGAATAACATAATCGACTGCTACTGCCATCTATTATTCTTTTAAAACAAAAAAAAAACAATTTCTTTTTTCGTATAGAAATTAACATCGAAAGACAAAAATGAATTAAGTTTTTTTTGTAATTTAAATTCACTGATAGAGTTCAATAACAATATTTTGATTGATTATATAATCAACTAATTGTGATAAAGTTGATATTTCACGTGAGATTATATCATCTTATTAATTATTATTGCATTTCAATAAATGGAATCGTTGAACAAATTTCTTAATTCCTGGCAACAAGAAATATCAAAAGAGAAATCTAATCAATCGAATTCTGTTAATGATATTCCACAAACTCCAACTGGTGATCTCTGTCAACTTGGTACTAAATCTAAACGTTCAATTGAATGTCAAACATATATTCCCCCACCATCTCAATTAATTCGTCCATCACATTCAATAATTAATAATACATCATTTACAATTGGTATTCGAACATTTATCGCTTCAAATGCGTTGTCTACAAAACCTTCATTAATTGAAGCACCATCACCTAAAAAATTAAAAACATCAAATTTAACATTAATCGATGAATTAATACGTGATATTGATGAATCAACAGACATACCATTTTTTAATATATCATTACCACGTGAAATAGCATTACATATATTTAATTATTTATCAATTAAAGATTTGTATTCATGTTTACAAGTATGTAAATCATGGTATTCATTATCATGTGATGATATATTATGGCATAATTTATATAAACAATTAAAATTCGATAATACAAATAAAAATTCTGATGATACTTGGAAAAATCATGTTAAACAAGCTATTTTATCAAATCAAAAATTAATAGAAAATTTTAAAAATCATCAATGTCGTACAACTAAATTAACAAATCGTCTTGGTATTGTTTTAACATGTGCAAATAATAATCAAACAACAATTATTGCTGGTTATTCAACTGGTATTATTCGTACATGGTCTATTGAAGCTATTCTCAATGTTGAGAACAATGATGAAGATAATGAACAATTAAATACACCTGATATTATTTATGAATCAACAGATACAAATCAAGATACAGATTTATCAAGTGTTAAATCAGTAGGATTTTTAAAAAACGATATTTATGCTATACATGATAATGGTCTATTAGAAATTTGGACGAAAGATATTGGTGATAAACCTCGTTATACTCAACAATTAACATCATTATCAATTCAACATATTGCAAATGATGAAAATATATTATGTACTGCGAGCCGATCGAAATTTTGTGTATGGAATTTTAATGAGGTAAAATTATATTTAAATAGTTTCATAAAAAATTTATTATTAATTATTTTTATGTCGATAAGCAAAGGGATTTATATAGCACATTGTAAGACTAGACATGAGCGAGTTCAAGTTCTTTTGGTCCTAGTAATATCTTTATCCGATCACTCTTTTTTTTAAAACCTCTTTAGCCAACGATTAGCACTTTTTTTTTGAGTCATCGTTTTTGAATTATGTTCTGATTCATAGGATTAATGAGATAATTTGCTTAAAACTAAAGAATGTATTACTATAAACTTGAGCGTTGGTCCCGAAGAATTTCTTTCTCGTAGTCTTGATTCTGCACAACTCCTATTTAACACCTTCCTCGAAAAGCTAATTTTTGGCTAATTATATTCAAAATATCTGAAGTTTTCAGCTCTCTACTATGATGTTTAAGGAAGATATTCACCTAGCAAATATCAGAAATAGCACATTTTGTAATCCGCAATTCTCTATGAACCCTCATTCTAAATAATGAAACGTTTTGTTTAAATATTTGTTTTTTTTTTTATTTATAGGAGCGTGTTGTATGTATAATAAAAACAAAAGTTTATTACAGAAAGGGACTGTATCAGTCCCTACATTTAACATGATTTTTCCAATCAGAAGAAAAAAAACATTTTCAAGAAGAAAGATGATGGATATTCTTGAAAATTTTCAGAATATTCGATTTCAAACGATCCTTCTATGCATTTATTTTAATTTTAAATAATATGATGGAGATGAATGTCTTTTAAGAAAGATGAGTTATATCGATTTTCTATCTAAATATAGACTAAGATATTTTGCTTGATGGATATGATCGGAAAAAAAATAATACTGCGAGCAACATTGTAGTCTGTCATTTCTACATACCAATTCATAAATATTTAATTCACACTCAAGCCTTTCGTTGTAAATATCTCTATAATACGAATACTTCATTATAGTGAACTGTGAATGTTTTTTTGTTTTTGTTTTGTTCTACTTCTAATCCTGCATGCTCTAATGCACACGTAAGAATACAAAACACTCAATAATGAACATTTTTAAATATTTTCTTGAATGTTTGCCTTAGAGACTTTCTATGAAGATTACTGCTTAATTACATTCTATTATTTTCAAGAAATTCATATGAATAAAAATAGACAGACAGACTAGGCTTGTAGAAAAGTTCGTATGTTTGAATCTCAGCTAAGTATATATAATAGTTTGTCGAAGTTCAAAAATATTTAATCAGTACATTTTATACTGAGGACATGAATTTAGCTAATATTAATTGTGAATGAGAGTATGACATTTGCTCGAAGTGAAAAGACAAAAATGGCTCTTCATACTTAGTGTTCAAATTAAACAAATCAGTTCTTACTCGGTAGTATCTCGATATTTTTTTAGTTTCGTACAATACCAAAATATTTCTTATGTTATTATTAGAACTATTAATTCATTATTGAATAGTAAGAATTACTCTTTATATCATTGGATACTTGATAATATATGGACAAAATCATTTGTTAGCAACATGATATAACATATATCTGTGCTAAAATGAACTTGTTCAGAAAAATAATCTTTGTACAGAAAGTCAAATGAAAGGTGTGTATGTCTCGTTTTGCCTAAAATGATCGATATATATAACTTTCGTTCTATCTTTTAATAAAGTTTAAATATTAATACTTTTTTTCTTAATTTAGCATGAATCAATTCCTCAATATCAAGAAGTTAATTTCCTAACTGATTTAAACGATCGTATTTTATCATTCTGTATGTCTAGTCATCATTCCGTACCAATATCAATAATTGCTGCTAATAAATCTCTATGGTGTATGTCATTATCAAATCTGATAAATCGTCATTCATTTTATTCAATACTTGATTCAGATTATATACAAAAAATTCCATTAGATATTCATAATGAAGAACCATTAGCTATAATTGGACTTGATCGTGAAATAAAATTATTTGATTTAGAAAGTGGTCGTTGTAATATAGTATCAACAAATTATAAAAATTTTTCAGCAAATATTCATTTAATTCGTGCTGATAAATGTCCTGTAAATGAATTCGTAGTTGCATTTGATAATTTTCAAATAAGTATATTTGATCGACGACAAAAAGAAGGAGCTATTCAACATTTTTATAATCATTATTCTACAATAACAACATTACAAATGGATACATGGAAATTAGCAAGTACAGATGTATGTGGATTTGTTCGACTTTGGTATGAGATTAAAATAAAATTATTGCATATATACATGTTTTTTCTTTTGTTTGTGTTTATAAAAGGGATCGACGAATGTATTCACATTCTTTATGGCATATGAATCCTCAATCACATCCTGTTACACATTGTTCATTTGATAAACAAACACTTATTTTTGCATTAACACCGTATTGCAAACAACCAGATATGGTAAAATGAATTTTATTTAGAAAGATTTTTTTATATAACTCTCGTAATAGCTATTATAGTTTCCTAGAAATCTAGAGTTGACTACCAACTTTTTCCGCGTATCTGTAAAAATTGCGGACATCCATGGTCACTTTGAGTTTTACTTATATCAAATGTTTATGTGATCCACAGTGTTAACGCATACTCAAAAGTTATTCTTGGTTACATTGATATTCAATGATAAAGTATCGTGTATAAGTAAAAATAGTAGTCTATGGGGTGTGTATATCCACAAAAAACTCAGTCTAGAATAAGTGTTCATATGATATTGGTTTCGAACTCTACGTTTTTTTTTTGTTCAGCTTTGGTGGTGTCTGCAAATTTTATAGGTATGCGTTTCGTTTTTGATCTCAAATGACTAAATCGACCAAGTAGTGCATTCTGTACACTACGTTTCACATTTAAGTGTTCACATACTCTTCGTATTTCATGAATCTTGCTATGGATACGAAAAACTTTAGTTTATATAATATGGTGATTTGGGAAATTGGAGAGCTTTGAAACGATTTTAAAAATTTCTATTGGATATTTACCAATAAAACTGTAATAGTGAGAGTTTAATGATTGTTGTTTGTTTTTAGATTGATTATCAAATTAATTCTGATCCATTATCAGGACATATTTATGTATGTGATTTTAAATCAGATGTTTCAACACAACTTGATGCTGATTTAAAAATTTGTACGTCATCTTATGATGCTCCACAAGCATCGAATAGAAGGATTGGTTTACATACTCCATATGATATTATTGAGGAATAAAATTCTTTTTTCTTTCTTGTTATTACGCAAGCAACTGTTGTCGTCTGTATGTTTTTCTTGTTTTTTTATTATGTCAAAAAGAATCTCATGACCGAATGAAAAATATATAAGAAAAACACTTCGGCTGAAATTGTATAAGTTCTTTGACTTATTATGATAGTTTACATGTCGTATAAAAATTTTCTCCTATCAAATAGTTTTGTATTATAAACCAATGTCTGTATATTTACTTTCATGATAAAAAAAAAGCAACAAAATTTTTAATTTTTTAGATTGTCTTTTTAATTTGATGTCAAAAAGATATATTATTTAATGGATAATTTATATAATTATGATTATCAATTTCGTTTAATTGTTGTTGGAGATTCAACTGTTGGAAAGGTATATTAAATTAAATTATAAAAATTATTAATATTCATGTTCTTCTCTTTTTCTAAGTCATCACTATTACGAACATTTTGTGATGGAATTTTTTCTCAAGATCCAGTAAGTCAAACTAATATTATGAATATAAATTAATAATTTAAATAGGATCCAACAGTTGGTGTGGATTTTCATGTAAGAATAGTTGAAATAAAACCAGGTGTTAAAGTTAAATTACAATTATGGGATACAGCTGGACAAGAACGATTTAGGTAATATTTAAGTCTATGCCATTATTGTAATTACTATCCGTACTAAAATATAAGAAACGCCAACGTTTTCGCCATTCCAGAAAGAGGAAAAATGGGCCATTAAAATGAATCAAAACCTCATTGGTCAGCAATTGACTAATCAGATTCCTGGTTACTGTGATGCCCGAGTGTTCTCTCTAGAATCGTGATAACTATAGGTCTCTATGCCATTTCTATCAAAAGTTATTACAAAAACATCCGCCTTCATTATGCTCTGATGCCGATAGTAGAAATCAAGAAGACATTACAGAAAGTAAGATCGTCGAAAAAAAGTTTAACAACAGTGTATTTTTCATTTTTTTTCTTTAACGTTGAGCAAGCATCTCAAATGAAGATAGTGATTTTAATAGCTGTTGAAGTTTTCTATATAACACATTCTATACCAAAATTTCAAACATGATCTGTGATGATAAGGTTTCTAAAAAACTGAACACAATAGTTTTCAAGTCCAAGGAGACTATGGGAACTATTTTTACACAATGTCATTTTGAAGAGTATGAAATTCTGAACAAAATGAGGGATCGCTACATTTTCTACCATTTTCTCTTACAAACTAAAAAGCAACACAAAAGGCATTTTTTTAGTCAATTTTTATGGCTTTTGTAATGCTTTTATCTTTTGAAGAGAAGATTATAGAGTATGCGGCGATTTCTCAATTTTGTTCAGAACTTTGTATTCATTAAAATAGCATTATTAATAAGCAGTTCCGATAAAGTCTTCTGGTACCTGAAAACTATCGCGTTCGATTTTTTAGAAAATCAAGATGCTCAAAATGAGTTTTTGCGATTCAATCAGACCTATCTTCGATAATCTATACTCCTTCTACGAAAGGTGTAAAACAGGCTTTTAGGTCTATCGTCAGTTGATTGTCGTTCGCTGAACATTGGTCACGAACAGCATGGAAACATCAAAGTGTTTTATCTGCCAGATGAACTTGTTGACAAAACTTTTTTTTATAAAATCCAAAAAACTGGTTGCTGAATTTTGTTTTTTTTTGAGTGATATTTTACTCATGCCTGTTAATGAGAATTTGACAAGCACTTCTTCTGATAGGAAACAAGTAGAATATACTTCGTTTTTTAAGTTATTATCTCCACCTTACGAGATACATGTATTAAAGTTGAATGAGCGCATATCTGATTAAGGATTACTACATCGATCTTTTTCTCTAAATTTTTATTTTTTTGTAGAAGTATTACACGTGCCTATTATCGTAATTCAGTTGGTGTTCTTCTTATATATGATACAACGAATTATGTTAGTTTTACACATGTAACCAGTTGGTTAAATGATGCTCGTCAACAAATTGAACCATATCATTGTGTTTTTCTCCTTGTTGGTACTAAAATTGATCGAGAATCTGAACGACAAGTATGTTTACTTTAAAAAAAGAAAGCTATTGTTGTTTTTTAATTATGTTTATACATAAAATTAGGTGACAACAGAAGAAGGCAAAGCCTTTGCAGATTTTCATAATATTCCATTTATTGAAACATCATCAAAATCTTCTCTCTATGTTCAAGAAGCATTTGCACTTATTGCTCGTGAAATTTATGATTTATTAATTGAAGGACGTATTCATATTCAAAAAGGGTATGCCTATTACTTATTGGTCATATTTAAATAATCAATTTTTGTTTTCTTTTTTGTTCTAGATGGGATGGAGTGAAAGCTGGTCCTAATACAGCAAGTACAAATCAGAATCAATCAATTGATATCATGCAGAACAATCAACCTCATCGAAGTGGATGTTGCGGAGGCTAATAATCTCTTTGATTTTTTTCTCTTTTGTATATGTAGCTCCTTTGTCTTACAGTGTGCTTGTTTTTATGGTTGGCTTTCCTATTTATATCTATACATATCTATACATATATATTTTGGAAGGAAAATATCCGTGTTTTGAATCGATCAATCAAGCTCGTTTTTATTTTCCGAATAAAAACTTCATTTATTTGTGTCAGGTTTCACTTGATTTATAATTCTTTCTTTTTGTTTTTCCCCATGTCTTTCATCCCGGCAATTTCCCGCCGGGATCCCGCGAGATCCCGTCCGGGATCCTGTGCGGGGTCCCGCTCAAAAAATTACGGGATCCCGCAAGATCCCGACAATTCCGCGAAAAATGCCGGGATTCCGACTNAAAAATTTTTACAAATGATTTATTTTTTATTTAGTTATTGTTATTCGTAATAGTCGTCTTCTTCTTGGTTGTGTTGATAAAAGTGTATTAGGTGCAAATGGAAAAACAAATGTTTTCTATTTACTTTTACGTGATTGTTCTGAAGTAGCAGCAGCTGTAGCTATGGCACGTTTAGCACGATTGACTAGTTATTATTTAAGAAAGTTAATTTGTTTTCTTTATTGGTTAATATTTTTGTCTCTTTCGTTTTTAGTGAATCGAGGTTTTTCTATTCGTCTAGTTGATGTAACACCCGGTGAAAATTTATTAAAAGCAAAACGTGCATTAGTTACTGATGGTTATAATAATTGTAACAATTATATTCAACAAGCAAAAGAAGATAAACTTCAATTACAATCTGGTTGTTCACGAGAACAAACACTTGAAGTAAAGCAATTTTTGTTTCATATAATAAAAATAAAATAATTATAATAAAACTTTCAATGATTTAGGCATTGATTTTAAAAGAACTTTCTGAAGTTCTTGAATCCGTTGGTAAATTATGTTTTCAAGAGTTACAACGTTCAAGTAACAGTCCACTCATTATGGCTATTTCTGGATCAAAAGGTAATTTCTTATTATTAATGATATATAATATTTTACAAAGATGATTGTAATCAGGTAGAGATATCAGTAACATTAGACAAATTTTAAAACGATTCATCTCTTTGGAGCCAAGTTACGATCAATTTATTAAATATTAGGTACTAATAGACTTTCGACATAAAGTTTTGCTCATAAATGGATCAGAAATGTTTCAACCGAAAAAAATTTTCCTCCATCGAGATATTAAATTGTCAAGTCGACTCAATGTTAGTGATTTGTCTATTTGAACAAGTCAGTTTAATTGCATCAATTTAAGGCTATAAAAATACTGCTAAGTATGTATGGATTATTTGATGCATGCCTAAATCGCTACTGAAGTTGTAATAAAATAAATTCTTTTTTTAATTGAGAACGTAGAGAAAATCTTATTGATAAATCATAACGATTGAGACGTGCATCAGTATAAAATCAATCAGCAGGCAGAAAATTATCCATAAATACTTATCAGTATTTTTACAGCATTCAACTGATGTAATTAAATTAACTTGTACAAAAAAAATCAAAGACTGTGCTGTATCAGTGACTATGTGCTGGATGATTATTAAAAGTTCATTTAATTGATATTATAATATTAATAACCGAAATTTTCGTTATTAATTCATATTATGAACGTAGAGAGAAATCTGTCTATTTAATCTTCCGACTTTGATATTTTTAATCAGTTACTTTTTTTTTCTATTAGGATCAAATATAAATATTTCTCAAATGGTTGCTTGTGTTGGTCAACAAGCTATAAGTGGCTCTCGTGTACCAAATGGTTTTGAAGATCGTTCATTGCTACATTTTGAAAAAGATTGTATGCCATTCGTTTAAGTTTATCTATTAATTTAGAAAATATCCATATGTTTATTTTTTAGCAAAGATTCCAGCAGCAGAAGGTTTTGTTGAAAATAGTTTTTATTCTGGTTTAACACCAACAGAATTTTTCTTTCATACAATGGGTGGTCGTGAAGGTATACAAGAAAAAAAAACAAATAAAAAATTTCGTTTGTTTTTTTTTGTTTTGTTTTACTTTTCAGGTCTTGTTGATACTGCGGTAAAAACAGCTGAAACAGGTTACATGCAACGTCGTCTTGTTAAATGTCTTGAAGATTTATGTTGTCAATATGATATGACTATACGAACAAGTACAAATGATATTGTTCAATTTACATATGGTAGTGATTCATTAGATCCAATATTTCTTGAAGGTAAAAATCAACCTGTTGATTATGAACGAATATATCAACGTGCTCGAGCAAAATATCGTTATGATGATGAACATCCATTATATGGAAGTGAAATGAATAATTTTGTTTGTCAACAACTTCAACAAAATGAATATTCAATAATGGACGAAGAATATAAAAAACATATTATTAAATTTATTGAAAAAGTTTCATCAAATGTTGATGCAATTCGAACGAAACATCATATTAATGATGGTTCGATTTCTAATATTGAAGAAGATGAACAAGAATTAAAATCAAATTCAAATCAAAAACGTATATCAATAGTAACAACTAATCGTTCAAATAAAAAACAACGTTCAATACCAAATGTTCTTTATGAAATTGAACGATGTACAAAATCACAATTACTTGAATTTCTTCAATTATGTAAATATAAATATGGTCGAGCACGACTTGAACCAGGTACAGCTATTGGAGCACTTTGTGCACAAAGTATTGGTGAACCAGCAACACAAATGAAATTAAAAAGTTTGTACTTTTTATCTTATTAGAGATTTTCGCGACTGTTGCTTCTCTGAAAGATCCTTCCGCGATATTTATTTCCTACGCGTCTTAGTCAGAGTTGCGAACAATCAAAAAGCGATCAGACAAGTACTAAATTTATATATATATATGTAGATCTCTTCTCTTCCTTACCCTTGTTTTTGCCTTCATCTTCAACGACAGCTTCCCAATATGACGAGAGAAAGTGTCATGAAAGTAAGTGTCAAGCGACAAAAACGGTTATTCGTGAGTTAAGATTGTATATACGAATATGAAATTTATTCCGAAAGCATCATATCGATATGAATGGATTCAGAACATGAATATCACGTTTAAAATCAAACAGTTAAGAATTTATGATAGTGAGTGTTTACTATAGAACACGATTTTGGCAAAAAAATTGAATGAAGTCTCTTGTTTTTATGTGAAATTTTGCGTATAAGTAGCCCTTATGATTCTAAGAATAACCCGTAGATTTTAGTCAAAACGATAGATTTCTTCTTGAAATATTCAATATTTTCAAACCGATAACGTTTTAACAAGAGTCAAAAACAATCAAAAGTTGAATATATCAATAAGAGATTCATCTTTGTGACTTAAACTTTCAAAATATTCTTATAATCATGAAATCTACTTATCAACAAAGTTTTAGATAAAAAAAAAGTTAATAAAATTTATTGAAGAATTTTTTTCAATTTTCTCTAGATCGTGGCAGTCTTTTAGGTTTGTAGAGAAAACCTATGAACCTAAACGACGATAAATTAATAATTTTAGATTTACAATAGGAACTTCTTTGAAGATTCTAATTGTTTATTCTACGGTTTTGAACAATGACAGCTAGATCAAATCGGAAAAAGATTTGAGTAGTTAAAACAAGTTTCCATCAAGAGAGATATTTGTCAAATTTTCATTAACAGTTCTGGATAAAAAGTATCTAAAAAATCAAAACTGATAAAAACCAGTTTTCTGAATTCTATAGAAAACCTTTTGATGCCCGTGTACTCTCTTCACGACTTATCTTTAGCGAACGACGGTCATTATACGATAGACCTGAAAGGCTGTTTTCTATTGTTTCTATTAATATCAATTTACTTGATTTTCACACTTTGGAATCTTTCGAATGAGATTTTTATTTAGAAATTTTTTAACTAAAACTAAAAAAAAACCTTCTTTTTCTTTTTAGCTTTTCATTTTGCTGGTGTTGCTTCTATGAATATAACACTTGGTGTACCACGTATTAAAGAAATAATAAATGCTGTTAAAACTCCTTCGACTTCATTGATTACAGCTGAATTAATGAATGAACATGATCAAGTTTTTGCACGTAAAGTAAAAGGTCGTATTGAAAAAACATATCTTGGTCAAATTTCACAATATATTGAAGAAGTCTATGAATGTGATGATTGCTATTTATTAATAAAATTTGATCTTGATCGTATACGTTTATTACTACTTGAAATAATTCCAACATCAATTATAGATTCAATTGTTGAAGATAAAAAAATGAAAAGGGGTAAATATAATCAATTAACATTAGCTTCATCAGATACTATTACTTTACATGTATCAGATACATTAAAAGGCAATATGTATTATACAAGGAAACGTTATAAAGAAATTTTACCAAATATTGTTGTTAAAGGCATATCAACAGTTGATCGTGCTGTAATAACAAAGGATGAAAAAGACGATAAAAAACAAATTATTTGTTGAAGGTGAAGGTATGAGACAAGTGATGGGTATACAAGGTGTTAATGCTAATCAAACAACATCAAATAATACAATGGAAGTATTTCGTTGTTTGGGAATTGAAGCAGCACGAACAACAATTATTAATGAAATTGTTTATACAATGGCATCACATGGTATTGGACTTGATGTTAGACATGTTATGCTTTTAGCGGATTTAATGACTTATAAAGTAAAATATTTTTTTTGTTTCGATTACAATGAAAATGTTTTTTCTTTGCAATACGTGGATTAAATGGACAATCAGACCAATCTTTATCAGGAAAACGTTGAATAATTTTTCTACATGAACGACCACCTCGTTCTTCATCATGATCATAACCAACTACAAGAAAATAATCAGGTAAACGTTGCATTTTAATAATAATTGGCAAGACAACATCTCAAAATAGATTCATTTTTTGTTTTTTTTTTATTTTTTTTTGTTTGTATCTTTTCAATCAATCAGTCAAACATATGCTGCTGAATTCATTTTCACAACTACGTCACATATGACCCTTTCCTTTTCTTCACTTCATATCTGTTGATTAAATAATTAATAATCAGAATAAAGAGACAAATAGAAGTTGTTTATGAATTATTCTTTATATTGATCAATAACATTATTAGTCAAATGTAAGCACCAAATGATATTCCAAATGAACTTGAATATGTTGCTAAACATACATTATCGAATGTAACTCGACAATTAAATTCATTAAGTGCACGTGCTCAATATTTATTTGATACTATACATAAATTTCAAAATTGAAATATAAAGATAAAATTAGATTCAAATATTGAAAAAGATTAACATAAAACCGTTTCGTTCGCAAACTGTTCAAGATGTAAATCATCGACAATCATTTACTAGTGTAATTCTGGTTGGCCAACAACTAGTAATCATGCTACAATGCCAAAATCATTTCCTTAAAAATACTTATTCGTTAGTTTATTTTTCAAGAAAAGATTTGTTTCGTTGTTATTTAAAAAAAAATTTTTTCTATATTATTATTTCCTAAATAAAGAAAAAACCAATAAATTCGTACACGCCAACAAGCAGTTGGATATTGTAAACTTTTATTTTTACGAAAGAAAGAAAGAACAGAGATATTCAATATGGAAATTTTAACAAGAAAAATAACAGTAAGAACAAAATGAAAAAAAATGTTTAAGAGCTGTTGCAAGTTCTTTTACTACATGATGAACTACAGTAAAGTTTTTTTAACGAAAAACAATATCATGTAAAGTTTATCATCTTAAAAATGAATTAATTCGTTTTCTTTTTTGAATTATTTGTTTCAACGTTTATTGTTGTACTTGTTGATAAATCATCTTTACCATAATCAATTGTATGATCATCATGACATGTACTTTCACCTGGTCGAACATCAGTTGTTAATGTTAGATGTTTACCATTATCTGATTTTTTCTAAATAGAAAATGATGAAAAATATTTAGATTATCATCAATGAATAATAACCAGAGATCATTTTCGCTTATATGAAGTTTAGAATAAATAAGAACAAATAAAAAATTGTTTTATTTGGAGCTCTAACATAAAAATATGTATTGGTTAAATCTTGATTAAATATATGATTCTTATCTAAAATATCAGTATGTTTTTAATAATATAAAAATGCTATATTCAATGTAGATACAAATTAATAGACAATCTTTCAAAACCTATAAACCACGACAATTTTTGAGGAAATATAATAGTACAACTCAACTGTCTTTAGTGTAAGGATGTTAAAATCTGATCATTTTGCGAAAAAAAAATATATTCTGAGGAAAAACGCGTCAATACATAATTCTATGATAAATATTCAATTTCAATTTTTTTTCAAAAAAAAAGAAAGATCCTCAGGTCGAAGAATCCGATCGGATCTCGTAGGATCCAACCATCCGACAGAATCCTATCGGAATCCTGGTTGTGAAACTATTGACGGATCCGACGGGAGAATTCTATTTTCTTATTTCAGTTTGAATTCGCGTTTTAGCGTAATATAGAGGACGGTCAGATCAGCCGATGAGATTCTGTCGGATTCCGATAGTAGGATCCGATCAGATCCTACAGTAAAGATCCGGATGTCGGATCGCAACCAGGAAACCGATAAGATCTTATCGGTTTTGTAAAATTCCAATAGAATCATGATCGGAACCGATAGGAATCCGATCAGGTCCGACTATCGGATTGATGGACATGGGTCCTTTAATTATCATTATTCAATTCTTTTCTAAAGTTTTCTATTTGAAATCTATAAAATTTCTAATCAATTGAATATTATTCAATAATTTCGGATAAAAGAAATAACTTCATACCTCATTTTTGTCTTCAATATTTTTATTATCATATTGATATTTTTTATTAAAAATTGCATTATTTTCTCTGATAGGAGTTACAAATAAATATTTATCATCTTCATTTTCAATACTTATTGTTACATATTCAGTTGATGGAATAGTTTTAATAATTTCTTCAATAGCTTTTGATTGATTTAAATCATCAACAGCATATAATTGACATCGACGTGCTAATGGTACAATGTTAACAACTTCTACATCAGGTAATTCATATAATTGATCAGCAGTTAAATTTTGTAAAATATTTCCATAATCAATACATATAATATCATATTTATTTTCAACAATAGAAACAATTTTACCACAAAAATATTCATGATGACCATTAAAGACAATGCATAAATCATTAATTGATAAATTAGTAATCCATTCATAATCTTGTCAAATATCGACTGAAACACTTTTTACTAGAACAGATTTGACTTTGTTTGATTAAATAGAAAATCAAACGATAAAATAAGAAATTTTTTACTTAAATTTAAAAAATTATTTTTTCACTTTAAAATATTTCTCAACCAGTTCGATGCTTTATGAACATTCCAATTGTTCTAAAGACAATTGATGAATAGGATAGGCAAATAACCGTTACCCTACCAAATATCTACTAACACAAGAAATGATCCTTATTGGCTAACTCGTAACGAGAAATTATACGTTACTTTTTTCGAGTAACTTCTTTAAAAGATTTCCATCCGATCGAATGTAATCAAAATATCATTCAATAAAGTTTCCAGTTACTCACTAAAGCGGAATGAAACAGCTACCAATTAGCCGGCAATGAAACGGTCAATAACGTTAACTTGTCATCCCTACTATTCAATATAATGAAATAAGGACAATTGATCATTTTATTCTTTTCATTTATTTATTTCAAATATTTACATATATATCATTTAAAAAATAATTAACATAATTTCTTTAACAGAAATAATTCAAAGTGATTGAGAAAAAAATCAGGTTGACTTTCAGCAAAACGCATCAAGAAAAAAAGAGGAAGTTTAAGTGTAATTGCCACGATATAATATAATTGATATTCATCGAATATGACGTTCGGACGCCCAACTGAATATTCCATAAGAAAGCCAAAACAAATAAATGGAGCAAATGTAGCTTCGACAAACCATCGACGTATGTTCATTGATGTTACCCAATTAGCGTTATTCGACAATCCATACCATTGATATATATAACAACATATATAACAAAAAAGAGTATAAATAAATATCATTGCCACTTCTTTGATCAATACAATCATTGCGTAGATATTTCTTGAAGGTGGATAGGATTCCAAGTGGATATTTGATTGAATTATATGAATGATATGACGAAAACAGCCAGAGAATATTAACAAAAATGCAGAGAAAATCAACAAAACAATATAAATGCAGGAAAACAACATCTGAATTAGTGTTACAACCATAAAATGGGTTTGTAAACGCGATCTCATGCTAACAAGACATTGCATTCGTTTGTTGTCCATTAACAAGAGTTGAACAGATAACAATGACAATGTTTCATTTGTTAATAACATTGATTATATCAGTCGAGCAACATATAGCAAACAATTCCACTTATATATATATCGATGGACATTTTCTCTTTTTTTTTTCATCGTCCATCTCGATCGTCTATAAAAAGAAAAAACGACCTGACATATGAGAAACATATTTGTCGAGCGTGACCTATAATGAATAGTATCTCTTCTCTTTCTTCAAGTCACATCGTACGCTACTTGTGCGCGCACTGAAAGTGACAACGTGCGCTCTCTTTTTGCTTCTCTATTGGTTGGTTTGTGCTTCAATAGAAATGTGTATATTAAAAAAAAATGATTTTTGACAGTATATTCTTTTATTTTTTATTGTCTTTCATTACATTTACTCACTGACATAAAATTCATTAAATAAAATAAATAACTCTCAAGAAAACAAAAAAAAAATACATAGAAAAAAAAATATGATGAGTACGATGATACTTCAACGTAACTGTTTTACAAGTAAAGTCATTTCACAAAAAAACAAAAAAAAACGAATCTTCATAAGAAAGTCATACAAAAAAGATTCAACAGGCTTGTATAAATCGAACAGAAGTTTTTAACAAAAAGTTCTAATAAAGAAAAATAAATTCTTCGACAGTGTCAAGTTTACACTGTAAACGATTCATTTGCAAACAAAAAAGTTTAAAGATTATTATTTTATTGTCTTTTAAAGAATACTGAACGACATGAATACGGTTCTATTCATGCAGTTGTGACAATATAACACAAATAAACATTAAATAATATTATCTGTGTTATGTTCAAATAATGATGAAATTATTTGACCTCTTTTTTTTATCCTGTTCATGTAATTGCCACTATAACATAGATAAACTGACAAATAAATTTAATAATTATATAACATTGCCTCTGTTATCTTGAAACAATGAAGAATAATTGGTGTTGTTGAAAAAAAAAAGAATAAATGTTAACCAAAAAAACGAACTGTTACTAATGATGATCCATTTGTTCTTCACTGTATATTTGATCAGTTATTTCAATAATAACAAAGCCAGTTGTTCGAGATAGTTGATCGTTATCAAGTGTAAAATAAAGAATTTTGAAATGGTACAGGAACAACAATAACATCAGATGAATATAATTTACGAATCAGCTTACAAATAATTGATGTGATGGGCAATGAAGGAGATATTGAGGTTGACGGATTTTCTTAATTGTGTATCTATAACCAGCTGAAATAGAAAGAACTTCGTATTATAATGGTGGATAACCTACAATAACTGGTAAATGAGATGGTTGATTGCTCAACACGAGATTCTACCATAAAAAAAAGTACGCAGAAGAATACAAAATTATAAAGAAGCCCTGCTTGGTTCGTATTAATTAGTTAATTTCTGAGTTTTTTCGTTACCTTTACGTAATAAACGTAGTTCTTCAGCTATATCTTCTTGTTGTTTAACAACAGATTCCATCATATAAACTAGTTGATTGATTGTTTTGCATTGTCAGATATTAATTCATCATGTTTGGGTTTAATCGATAGTGATGATGCAGGAGTTTCATCTAAAAAAAAGGTCGTTCTATTTAAAAGTCATAATAATAATGATGTAACTCACTTCTATCATACAATAGCATGACGCAAAAAAAGTATGTGGTGTACGAGAAACAAAAAAAAATTGAATTTGACTTTGACCATTGTTTTTTTAATGATGTTGTTATGAAGAATGTGATGAAGTTGGAAGAACGTCGTACCGATAGAGACGTGATTTTTGGTGATTGAGCTGAATAGTCATTTGTTGTTGGCCACACGAAGGATGTTCTGTTCTGATGCATTATTCCAATCTAAGCAAATCATTAATTAATAAGATATATTAGGAAGTTTCTTTTCTGTCATAAGAAAACGTATCGATTAATAAGGAAATTAAGATAAATATAACTTTCTTAAATGCGAAAGATTTATAAAAAGAAGAATATATTAAAAACTTAGTTGTTGATGATTTTTCGACAAGCTAAGAAAAGAATGTCTCAAAAAACTCATATATAAGAAAAATTATGAAGCAACAAAAATATTTTAAGAATTATAAGACATTGAATTGTCGATAACTATTTAATTTATTCATATAGACATTGTATACACAAAGGCACATGTTCTCCGTCAACGTTGCCATTGTTTCCTCTATTACTGTTAAACATATGATCTCGTTCATGAAGTATCGAAAGCGTAACGCGTACTAAGCGTGACAAAAACGTGCTCATTGATTCGCATATATCATTGGTGACATCTCACGTACCAATGCGCACACATATGACGTAAGCGCACAAATAGCGTACGATATGACTTGGGATATCTTAAATAATTATCTGAAAATACGCAAATGATCAATGATAAACTAACAGTGTTTTTTTAATCAGACTGACAATGATTACATTGAATTTTCTAAAAGAAAAAGTCACTCGTTTTTTTCTCTTTTATATTTATCTTATTCTTTTTTTTGAATCACTTTTCTATAACGTAAGAAGATTTTTCTTCATGTGAGAAGTCACTTATTTCTATAAACATATCATATCGTAATAACAAGAAAATTTTGATCAAAATTTCATATTAATAGGAATTCTTTATCAATTTCAATAGAAAATTTATTCTTTAAAAACATTTCGTCAATTATTTTAAAAAAATCTTTTTAATTTTTGGTTTTTGTTTGCAAAGAATAACATCTTTTTATATCAGAATCAAAGAAATTTTATTTCAAAGAAAGTACACATAAAGACATGTTTGGTTCACATATTTAACGGTTAAAGTATATGTAGTTAATGATCAATGCAAAACTTCCAATACTAACAATAGTCAATAGAAGAATAATCAGAGGTTTCGAGTTTAGCATGAAATTGACGACTAATATATCATCCAATTGTGGATCAGATTTGATAAAACGAATGAAAGAATCGGCACGTTTTGTATTTATGAAAAAAATCATTGTGATTAATAGTATAGACTTAATATATGATACCATTGAATCAAGTAGAGTCCTTATAAAGATGTTTGCGAAAAATTCAATAGCAATTAACATTAACCAATAACTGAATATATTATTCAATAAAAGCTGTTTATTTCGTATATCTCTTGCAGTTGGATTGGCTCGAATACGCAATCGATTAGTATTCATCATTTGAAGAAAATGTAGCATTGTTTTCATTATAATAGAAAAACCAGAGAAAATAAATATTAAGAATAATCGAATAATAGAATGAATATTGTCATCCAAATCGATTGTGAATGTTTTATACCACGTCTAGAAAAAAATAAGAAAGATTTATTCGCCAAATTATCGTTTAGAACTCTTCTACCTACCATACCGACAATAATAAATAAAATGATTCGAACTGTAAAATTTCGATGATTTTCTCTCTTTTTTCTTCGATTTCCGAAAAGAAAAAAATCTGTGCAAGATGAAAATCACGTTATTTTTTACGTAGGTGAAGTTAGCACCATATTCGAGTAAAACCTTCCCATATTCGTCCAGGAATGTGTTCCAAGTGTTCCAACCCGGTTCCAAGTAGAACTCGACGAGCTCTATCCAATGGCCACCTTCGCTTTTCCATAGCCCAAACCAGTCCTGAGGAAAATCCAAAATACTGCTCTTTTTCTATGGGAAAAGGCAAACCCGCATACTAAAACCTTCCCATATTCGTCCAGGAACGTGTTGAGAGTGTTCCAGCCCGGTTCCAAGTAGAACTCAACGAGCTCTATCTAATGGTCACCTTCGATTTTCCATAGCCTAAACCAATCGTGAGAAAATCCCAACACAGTACCTTTTCCCTACATGTATGGTCACTCAAACCTTCCCATATTCGTCCGGGAACGTGTTCCCAGTGTTTCAACCCGGTTCAAAGTAGAACTCAACGAGCTCTATCTAATGGCCACCTTCGATTTTCCATAGCCTAAACCAATCGCGATAAAATCCCAAAACAGTACCTTTTCCCTACATGTGTGGTCACTAAAACCTTCCCATATTCGTGCGGGAACGTGTTCCCAGTGTTTCAACCCGGTTCAAAGTAGAACTCAACGAGCTCTATCTAATGGCCACCTTCGATTTTCCATAGCCCAAACCAATCGCGATAAAATCCTAAAACAGTACCTTCTCCCTACAGGTATGGTCACTAAAACCTTCCCATATTCGTCCGGGAACGTGTTCCCAGTGTTTCAACCCGGTTCAAAGTAGAACTCAACGAGCTCTATCTAATGGCCACCTTCGATTTTCCATAGCCCAAACCAATCGCGATAAAATCCCAAAACAGTACCTTTTCACTACATGTATGGTCACTAAAACCTTCCCATATTCGTCCAGGAATATGTTCCAAGTGTTCCAAGCCGGTTCCAAGTAGAACTCGACGAGCTCTATCTAATGGCCACCTTCGATTTTCCATAGCCCAAACCAGCGCTAAGAAAAATCTTACTGAATTTGAAAACAATAAATAAGCAATTTTTTGTAAAATTCGAATATGTTGTACTTGATTATGATCACATCCATATAATAAGAATAAAATTTTAAAACTCTTATATTCACATATAACTGAACAATTTACTTTTGTATAAAATGTTGAATATGTTAATCTAGAATATAATTAAAGATTCGATTTATTGAGATGAATTTCAAATCTATTGTGTTAAGATATAATCCAACAATAGAGTTTTGAATAGAATATTCAATCTTATAATTTGGAATATGATCAAATTGTTCATTGAAATAAAAATCAAATGTAATAAGTTTAAATATAAAGAAAAAAACAATTTTTTTTGTAAATTTTGAAAGTGTTGTACTTGATTATAATCGAATCAATACAACTAAAAAATCCTAAAACCGTTATATTCGAATATAATCGAACAATTGACTTTTATATAAAATATAAAATATGTTAATATAGAATATAATCAAAGAATTCATTCATTCAGAAGAATTTTAAATCTATTGTATTAAAATACAATTCAACAATATACTTTTTAATAGAGTCTTGAATTCTTTGTTCTTGAATACTATCAAAATAACTTTAACTTGATAGATGTTAGCCAATTTGGTAAAGTAATTCCCAGTATGCGTTGCTGTAAATAATTTTAATCGTTCGTAAAAGTATAGACCAATATACTATTCGAGTTATCGTGGAAGAACGATGTGGCTGTGGGTAGGGGGTGTGGGTGTGAATGTGGAGTGTGGGAGTGTGTGTCTGGCTGGAGGTGCCGTTTTCAACCACGCCAACAACCTCTAGTATTTGAAATCACACACACATTGAAAATGCACTATTTTGAGCAAAGAGAAAACGGCTGATTCAAAATCATCTAAAATCCAGCATTAAATCATATAAAATCATTTTGAGTCATATTAATTCACTAAATCACAAATCGCCTTTTCCCAATTGATTTTGAGACTTATCAACCAACGGTTTGGATTACAATTGATGCGAGGTTACCGTCGGATAGAGCCCATCCATTTGTACTTCTGACCAGGCTCGAACACTTGCAACACGCTCCTCGATGAATATGGGACGGTTTCACTAAGTCGGTTTTCCATTTCCTTTACAAAAATGGTAGTATTTTGGATTCTTCGCACGTTTGGTTTGGCCTATGGACAGTCCAAGGTTACCATTGAATAGAACTCGTCGAGCTCCACGTGGAACCCGATTGGAACACTTGGAACACGTTCCAGGACCAATATGGGAAGGTTTTAGTATGCAGGTTTGCCTTTTCCCATAGAAAAAGAGCAGTATTTTGGATGTTCCTCAGGATTGGTTTGGGCTATGGGAAATCGAAGGTGGCCATTAGATAGAGCTCGTCAAGTTCTACTTGGAACCGGGTTGGAACACTTGGAACACCTTCCAGGACGAATATGGGAAGGTTTTAGTGACCATACATGTCGTGACACGGTACTGTTTTGGGATGTTCCTCACGATTGGTTTGGGCTATGGAAAATCGAAGGTGGCCATTNATTCCGTTAAATGAACGATTCATTCAAGTTCAACCACCAAACTGTCTCGAATTTCACCAGAATCTTCTTCTATCTACTGTCTCTAATCAATATTACCGCAAATATTCCTGTAAAAGATGCACACTGTAAAGGAGTGTTACTAAAGCATCTATTGCAGTGTATGATGATGGGTACAAATTTCTATTGTATATACTTCAGCACTCCTTTTAGATAGTGTTTTACAAAAAAAAAAAAAAAACAATATTCAATCTTTCATTTTGACAGAATGATCGAATGGCGCCGGGAGCTGTATTCATTTCCTGTGTTTATCTAGGTCAGTGAACATTACATGTCGGCCAGTGTCTGGTCGTTCATTCACAAGAGAGTATTGTTATTCCCCCTATGTACAGTACTGGATTTTTTTTTTCTATTAATGAATATCAATTTTGATGAGCACATTAGAGTTTTCTTTTCTTTTTTTAAAAAGTCTATCTTACCCCGGAAGAGTGTATATAATACTGTGTCCGGTGTAATAGAACCGCAGATACGACTATTATCATCATCTGCATCGAAGCATTCACCTAGAAATAGACAAATTATTGTTAATAATGAGAGAGAAAAAAAAGACTTGAATAAAATATAATGTTCTTTTTTCAATTGCTGTACTAGCGGAAATACATGACTATCATTTGTAGATGAAACATTGCATGTATGTATACATAGATCATCAATAAAGAATAAATAGATGCCATCTGTACATATTGATCGATAGGAATTAATAATTATAATGACATGATGATAGATTTTCTATTTTTTTTTTTTTTATTTTGTTTTATAAATACATACTTTCACGATATTGTAATGCATTTGAATGTCTTGGAATAAAAAGAATACAACGTTTACATCTTGTTTGTCTAAGATACGAATGAAAATTTTCATATTTTTATGAAATATTATAACTTACTCATTATAATAAATATATTTATATTTTACATCTTGTTGTCCATATAAACATGTTCCTTTTAATGAAAACCATGTATTATTGATTGTTATTAAATCAACAAGACCTGGTTGTAACCATATACCAGTAAATGATGAAGAAATAGAACAAGATGGTAATAATGAAAATGATGAAAGACCTACAATAGATCTTTTAAATATTAATCAATCATGACATTTGACTATAATCCATATAGAACATTAATAATAACGATTTAACACTTTGAAGTGACAATGAAACAATATGGATTTTCTTTATACATATATCATGACCTTTTCTTTTTATTAGATACAAGTAACTGACCCAGGCCCGTAGGCAAGGGGGGAGCCCGAGGGGCCCGGGCTCCCCCCTAACCTTTTCTCCTGTAACACTTATTATTGAATCTTTCTGGGATCTGCGCTCCGAAGGACAGCCTTGTGAAACAAATCACTATGAATGAAGGTGATTCTTAGTTAAAGTACCACTATTAAGTTATTCGTTCCTGTTAGGTAGTGACAGCTCCGCTCTTTCTTCGTTACGTTTCTCNATCTAAGATGTTAAGAACGAAAGTATCGATACTGAAAATCGTACGAGAAAGGTTTTTGCAACTTTAGAAAAAAATTTGGAATTGGGCTCCCCCCTTAAAAAATTCCTGGCTACGGGCCTGAACTGACCATAGTCTCAAAAAGCACTTGAACCTTTTTTTTTTTTCTTTAAGTATGAAAGTGACGTAAGCTTATAATCCTAACAGATGCATAGAATAATTAAAATGAAATGTTTTTTTTTGGTTTGTAATGAACAGTTGAACTTATCTAACGGATTGAACGATTGATGAGTGAGAATAAAAAACAATCAAAATGTCAACACCATCCGTTACACATATTTTTAATACGGAAATTGAAAATCGATTCATTTTCTTTCGTTCAAAATGCCTAAGGGCGATTAAAATATATTCATTTTTTTTTCATGCATTATTGCTAAGCAAAGCTAATTTTTAATTATGAATTATATCAGAAAAAAAACCTCTAATATAAAGCGCTTCAATAGATCTTTTTTTAAGATTATAATAGATACATTTGCCTATTAAAACTGTATCTTTCAAACTTACCCAATGTTGTTAACATCAATAGAACATAAAGAATTTTATAGCAAATCATTATCAATGATCTTCATCGTTTGATCTCTAAAAAATATCATAAGATTTTATTCATGATTTGATATCTAGAAAAAAAAACATATAATATAGAATTCAAAATGATATCTTCTCTTACCTATGATAAACAAGCAAGTTAAGATGTCTGTTTATTTGATTGTCATCTCAACACACCTGTTACGTTAGTGTTAAAACTCTATGCTATATACTTACGCCTGTCACATTGTCTATTGTAACAGCAGCTATCACAATGGGCTGTTTCACAGAAGTAAACTTAATTGTAGTAATAAAAACAAAATGGAAAAACGAGATGATTTTATTCATCCATTCTTGTTCTCTGGTATTCAATAAAAAAAAATGATGAAGAGAGGGAGAGAGAAAAAAAAAAGATGAGTATTCAATGGCTATATGCATGTCATAAGAGAAAGAGAGAGAAGAACGAACGACTGACCGTGGTTATAGTATCGTTTTCTATATTCTACCGGTTATTATCATTAGCAAATGAGTCTTAGTTTCATGATCATCTATCTTTTAGCCGATCAAATACAATGTAGAAGAAAAATTGAAACACACACACACATGTGCGTGTTCAATTGATCAAAATATAGAAGAGAAACGTTATAATCATTTTCGTGGTGACTGTCATCTCTCTTTTTAATTGACATAGTTGGCACGTCCTAATTAGACTTTCTCTTCCTATTCATTACAAAGATTATTCAGCGAGAACATCCGTTTGTAAGTAGAATGTTAACAAAGAACCTTGAATCGAATAAATTTATATGTAACACACGATCAAGTTTCTATTTTAATGGAGCTTTGTCTTAAGTAATTAAGGTTTATCAATTGTAATTATCATCATTATCATTTTGTATAAGAACATCATATATTATATCCTTGAAGAAAATGAATAATGTAGACAAAGTTTGTCTTTAGTTATATTTTGAAATAGACAAACATCTGTGTATGGAAAAGAATTAACGTTTCATATTTTTTGAATTGCCGATCATCCAATCATGTTATCGTTATTGGATGATTAAATTTATTAGAAAAGAAAAAGGATAAGAAAGCGAAGTCAAGCTTTGTGTGACATCGACAGATGATTAGATGGTTCGTTTGATTTCCTTTTTAGGTTGATTCTGTATGGCGCATAGTACGATGATAAAATTAAGTTAGTGATGTGTCAAATGAACGACAGTCATTTCAGCTCTTATTGTAAAGACACAATTTATTGATTAACACGTTGAGTTCAAGTAGACAAATCATCTTAACATGAACATTAGACAAATAAATTAATCTATTTACGACATTGTACACATACTGAAAAAGAGAAATAATGTATTTGTGTAATGTTTTATCACGAATTATAATAATTAAAAAGTCATAAGGTATTAAAAACAAATATTTAACTATTTCGTTGTGTTTCATTAGTATTTGTTATAACCGATACATAATGAATTTTTGTTTTCATTTGATTTATTAAAAAAGAAAGAAAAACACCATAGCCAACCACTCTGAATGTGGTCGCTTCCCTCCTTGCCGTATCACGATGGATACAACAAGGTGCGATCATCAAAGGAAGCAGGCCGAGCTCTCGAGAAGAGAGCAGCCCCATCCTACTTCACGCTCAAGAAGAACCACTGCCACTCATCATCGTGGTTTGTTTGGGTCTTCTTTGGCTATGGGTGTTTTGTCGATATGTACTACAGAAAATGATCCTGTGAAGTACAATCTTAATGTTTCCTATGTTTTCATGTGTATTTTATAGGCGATTAACATGCAAATATTGCACAGTAAACCTTTATTTTCTTCGTTCTGTTTATTATGATTCACACTCCTACTGTGAGAACGAACGAAAGAAAAAAAAAACATATCTGCTGGTTAACACGTCAGACATGATATAGTTCACTCGATAAATTTTTAAAGCTATCTTTTCGTCTTAACAATTGATAGTATATTAGATAAAATGTTTTATAAATGCTAAAGATGAAAATCAACAAAATTAGTATAACAAGAAAAAGTTAAACATGATGAATATTTTTTAGGAAAAAGATAATCAAATTTATTTTTGTCGTTCATTATAGATTAAGTTCATAAATAAATCATTTACATATTTTTCCTAACTAATTGTTTATAATCATCGTGGACAAAACAGTTCTATATAACTTTTTCTTGTTAGCAAGTATCTAGTAAAATAGTATTATAAGGACAAGTTAAAGAAATTGTAAAATAATAACTTCTTTTCCATTGTGGTCGATAACAATTACTAAGAAATATTTAGACATGCATCAAACTTGAACCGTTTGAGTTCGACTCTGTGTGCAGTCATTTTCAATTAATTAATAAAATCGAATAGAATTAAGTCAAAAGAAAGGATTCGAAGATTGACAAAATAGATGATCTAAAAGCTGAATGAATGCAGACATCCTAAAAGAAAGTCAATCATATTCAAAAATACCTGAACTTGATCGAATTTTAAGATATTTTGATCACCATCCATAGAACTCAAGAAATGCTTGGGCAATTATCTAAATACTAATCACTCAAAACTGTTCGATCTCGAACATCATCACAAGCATCTTATATACTACAACTCGAACTTGGTTTTAGAGAAAAACTCCATTTTGTAGATTATTGAAGTGTAAGTTTGCTACTCATATAGAGTGCATTAGCAAAAGAATATGTCTGATTGTTACTCTTTCTTGAAAAATTTAGAAAAGCGATACGAAGTTATTGTTTGCATTAAGAAAATGGATCTTGGATTAACTATGCTCAATAAACTTGTGGATTTTTATTTAGACCTTGATCTAATGATTCATGCATTTACAATTGTCTAAAATGTCCATCATCATATCTCGTTAACGCAGAATTTGGGCACATAGTGACATCGTAGGTTTTGTAGAGCAAAATTTGCTCTGCATGTCAATACATAACATTTTTCAGGGAAGTACCAAACAAGGCCTATTTTAGGACAAAAATATTATCATAAATAATCCAGGTATAGTTATATATACTATTATATGATAAATTTTTTCATATTGAAATATCCTCTGTTTGGTAGTCCTTTGAAAAGTGTTATATATTGGTGTACAGAGGAAATTTTGCTCTTTGAAACCTATGGTGTCACTAAGTACTAAAATTCTATTTTAATGAGATATGATGATGAACATTTTAGCTTTACATATACGGTGGAATCACCCATATATATATATATATATATGGTAATAGTATTTGTAATTTAATAAACTTATAAGAAACTAATAGTGGTCATCTTTGATTTTTACTTGTTGACATATACGTATATGTCGATAGTTAACCAGACATGAAAGATATTGCTCATGATTTTAAAAAGCAGAATCGAACTATCGATGTTTCCTATATTCTGCTCTTCTTTAGTTTCTTCAGATCGATCTGTCTGATTTTTTTCTCTTGTATGAGAAATATTTCACATGTTTCGGCCAACTTATGCATAAAATGTTGGTTAAGTCTTCTGAATAAAATTCTTAAAATGTGAGACATAAAGATTTTTAGAGCATGATAGAAATAAAGTAGTAATGTATATTGTTACACCTATAGATACACTCTTGGAGGATAAACATAGGCACTGAAACTTTTTATTAACATTGAGACCGAAATGATTTGATATATAATTCAATGGATTCATACAATCATTATAATTTTAATTCAATTATTCAAAAAAAAAAATATCAATATACATGTATCTGACGTCAGAGAATACGATTGTGCAGTGTTGTCGTCAGATAGTTTACAGTGTGTTCGACAAATCCATCATGTTTTTACTTCTTAGTATCTTTTCCTATTTACTTCATTTGTCTCTACGAATGATAAACAAATCACATGTAGTAAAAAAGAAAATTTTTTTCTATGCTTTTTTTTTCAATTCTACTTTTGATCACTGGAAAAAGAAGAAAAAATATGATTGGAATTCGATCATAAATAATGTGTTATCACGTTTGTTTTCAGATGCATTTTTTATTGTTTAACTAGCATACCAACTACATTGCCCATTAATTGATTTTTTTAAATTTAAGTCATTTTACTTGTACCCATTCACCAACACCAGCATAACGTAATTCTGAATTATTTTGTTTATCACCAAGTTCTATAAGTACACCATCAAGACATTCAATAGCAGCAACTATACGTCGTGAAATTTTAGTATCATTTAAATATGTCTATTTTTTTTCTCAATAAATCAAAACCAGTTATTTCATTTAATTTTCAATCCGAAAAACCACCAAATATTTAAACTACATCATGAAGATAAACAAGCGCACATCCATTATGTGGTTGTACAGTGTGTCGAGAAAGATGTGAGTTGTTTTTATTGGTCAAACTTACACATCCATCCATACACCTATACCCTTGATTGTACGATAGTACTGATATTAGTAGATTTATTCATAAGTATCTTTCGATGATTGATATTTGGTAACGAACAATGATCATAAATAGAATAAACTGCTGAACAAAGAATAAATCATATATTATTTACTCTTACGTTAATATCCACATATCTGTAGATAGAATAATAGTCTATTTCTTGATATTCTGATGAAATTGGCAACTTACTGAACATGTTCACTTTTATTATAAAAAGTAAATAAACAGATCATTGAACTGTGGGTTATATTTGCAAGCAAATTTAGGTAATAACGAAAGAAAGAAAATGGACAACTCAATCTCCAATTGACTTTATGTTTCGTTAGAAGCAGAGTTCTACATGTCGCCATTGATTTTAGCAATTGAATTATAACATGGCCATATTTCTTGTTGACATTCAATTATAGGTATATATATATATATAACGTAGAAATAAAAGTTTTTCCGTTTTGCTCCAAACTGATATTTGTGTCAATAGGCAACTTCTTCAAGCGAGTACATAATGAAACTCAAAATGATGAAAAGAACACGAGTTAAGAAAAATAATTCTTTTCTTCCTCTGGATACCTGTGGAAAATTTTATGAGAATGAAAAATCGATTTTCGCGACGAGAAGTAACCCTGATATGACCTATTTTTTCACCAATAGCAATATGATTGTACTCCTTTTAATACAGTCATTGAATAGGTCACAGGCTGCTATATCAAACAATATGAAAAGGATTTGACAAAATACTTGTTAATCGAATTTTATGTCTTTATTACAGATAATTTCTGTAATAAATCTTGTTTGTTTACGATCTGGCGATGAATTATGTCTATGTTGAATCGATCACATTGGAAATTTACATAATGTATAACAAAGGCAATGATCAGGAATAAATGTTGAACTTTCAGGATCAATCAAACATATTCGTAATCAAGCACATGAAGTTTTGTTGAGATTGATAAACTAATTGCTTTAAGAAATAAATCTATGAATTCCATCGAAAACATTGACGAATCAGAAAATGATTCAACTAAACGATTTAGCCAATAATAAAGATTATCATTCGAAAATTATTCTTTCTTAAATTGCTTATTTTGAAAAAGAATCTTGAATAATTGAATTATTTTTTCTATTATACCGAAACGATTACACAGAAGAATACAATAACGAATAAGGTTATCAAATGAACATGTTGAAGAAATTTTATCACGAAGAATACAATCAAATACATTTTAAACAGAAATTATTTAATGACTTATTGGTAAAGATAGCATATAAGACAAATGATCATATGAAATCGAATGATCATCAAATAGTAAATCCTATTGAGATTGATAAAGAATTAGAACAAGAACATGATATTTCGTATAATTTGGAAATATTGTATTGTCTGGAAAGATTATTTAGAGTTTTTTTTAAATTTATCTTGAAATTAATTTACCAGTATTGAACATTTGTTGTTGACCAACACCTTGTTAAAATGCATCGACAAAGTATGAAGTTCACCGAGAAATTTGTTAAATATAGCTGTATGTTCATATTGCGAATTCAAATCAAGAGTGATTTCATTGGTACTATATAATAATTTGAGATCAAGAAGTGAAAATTTCGAATCAGGTGTGTTAAGTGATGACATATAATATTCAAAAATAGCCAAATAGAGCAACAATGAAGAGAAGTATTTCATTGTTGACATAATTGGTTCAAGAGCCATTCGATATTTATCATGGAATAGAATCGAAAAATATCGAGAACAATCCACAGAATGCTGAAGACAAATAATAAGTTTATTCAGTATTTTATGAAAATTTTCTTTCGATTACGTAACAATACGTTTAATGCATTGTTATAAAAACATTTTCTATATTGATTGTTGGATAGTTTGTATTTGATAGAAGAGAATAGAGTTGATCAATTAAACTAGAATAATACAAAATGTTAAACTAGAAGAAATATTCGAACTGTTTTAAAATCAAATGATCAACTTTAGACTTTTATTTTTGATGTTGAAGAAACCTAAATTAATGAATTCTTTGCATGATGGAACACTGACTTTTTATAGAAAGAATCAGGTTTGCACATCGATATCTTGGTATTTTGTGTTATTAAATATTATTATATTTGCGTGTACGAATCCATAAGATTTCATATTTATGACATTGACATACATTAGCATTGAGATTGTGTAGTACAAGAAAACAGACTTTCTTGAACCTAGGACGAAAATTTTAAAAAATTGGACAGGCAGTCTTTTATTCTTCATTTTACACGTAAAACTGGCGAGAATCTAATCGCCTTATTGAATTTAACAAGTTCTTCTTGTTATTGTGTTTTTCCAGATCGATCATGTGATGTTTGAAAAAGCTTAAATTATTTTATTTTATTGTCAAAACAAGATGATAAATAACTAAAAGTTTAAATCCTTTTACAATTGGTTCAATTTCGTGTTGACAAGCAAATGGTACAATAAGTAAAAAAGGTTTTTGAATTATTTTATTCACGTTGATAAAACCATGTCAATAGATATCCTATTCCTCCTCATCATTGCCATCTATAGATCAATAATTGCTACCTGTATAATTTCAAGGTAAAAAAAGTAAGGACAATAATATGATAAATGAAAAGTTTTATAATTAAAATTGTAAATTTTAGTATGTGGATATGTTCGTGTCAGTGATGATACACACTGACGCTAAACGAAGATTAAGATATTCCTTCTAGTCTAATTGGCTTCGGACATATGCCCGGATAGCCGAAAGTGTGAGTTTGAGTCCCACAAAGGTCGTCTTTTTACTATCAAATAAAAACAGTTCAACCATAAAACAAAGAAAACCTTGAGTTAGCTGTTTTTTTTATTCATTTTTGTTCCAAAAAAATCATATTTATTTGATTGACTGTTCGGTTGGTAGACCTACTCACTTTTTTACTAGTGGCGTAACTATGGTTTGGCCAGATGACTCAGCCCTACCACCAGCAGTTTCATCTTACTGATCAAATTTCCAAATCAAAATAAATGAAAGTCAACTAGAATGCCGTAGTTCGAATTTTGAATGATTGACGGTTTATGTGTAATTTGAGATTAAAAATATTAGTGTCATTTTTTTATCCCTGTAATCATTAGATATTGAAAGCGCTAATCAGTATCTTATGCTATCTGCTATGAGTCATAACTTATGACTCATACGTTTTGAGGTAAACTAAGAATGAATAAATGGAAATATTTTACAAATGTATAAATAAAATTCATGAAATCTTGTACATAAAAACCAAGGACCATCTCATCTTTCTTTCTACTGTCTTCATCGAAAAAACAAGTTAAATGATCAAGAATCTCACCTCTCATTCACATCGACAGAAACATCAGCACGATTTGTTTTATCTGAAACATCAAATCTGTTGACTACAGTTGATTCAACTAGCAATATATATGCTGATAGAATTGCTATACATAATCAATTTATATCAACATTATTATCATTGAATACGTCATCAACGTCTTCAGTATCAAGACTATCAACATCACCAATATCATGATTTTTAATACCTATTCATCCTAGTTATCCTTCTAAGCGAGATACCCATCGATCTCTTCCTGATTGTTGAAAGCACAGAAGAATTTAGACTGTTAAATAGAGGATGTGGATGTAGGTGTGGGTGTGAATGTGAATGAATATCAGATTTGCACTCACACCCACACCCAGATCCAAACCCATCCACACCCCGCAATACTGTCATGGGGTCAGTTTCTTGTTTCTATCTAGCCACTCTCTCGCGGACAAAAAAATGGCCTTTTTCTATTTCTTTTTCGCATCACTTAATGCGTTGTTTTAAAAAAACAAAATATACTACAAGATGCAGCGTGACAAGAACTATAATCTACAAAGTAAACCTTGTTTTAATTTTGTACTTTTTGTTTTCAAAGAAGGCAAAATTCTGTGCGATCAATGTTCGACGGTGCGAGGAAATCATTTTTTTCTATGCGAACGAGAAATTCCTTTTTTCTTATTTCATCTATTTATCAATTAATATGTTTTTGTAAAAAAGAAATAAAATATACCGCAAGATGCGGCATGTAAAGCTCTACAATTTACGTAGAACAGTTTATCGAAATAAGAAGAAAGGAATTTCTCATCGGTGTAGAAAAATGATCCTCTCCCAGCGCTGAAAATTGGTCGCACAGAATTTTGCGTTTTTTGAAAATGAAAACATATGATTGAAATAAGCTTTACTTTGTAGATTGTAGAGCTTTTCATGCTGCATCTTGTGGTTTTTTNTTTTTGGTATTATTTTAAGCTTTACGACTCACTAAAAAAATATTCCAGTTTCGTCTAGACGAAATTAGAATTCCTATTTCGTCTGGACGAATTCCGAATCGGGCTGGATTCCAACTTCGGCCATAACATATACATATATATGCAATTGTTCGAATTTTGTTTTCATTTTTATGCACAACATTCACCAGCATTTCTTATGTAATAGATTGAATTTTCTCTTAATTATTAATGTTTTGTTGATATAGTGAATGAATAATAATTAATTCATATATTCTTTATTTTCTTATAGTCTCAACATGTCATATGATTCAAATGTCAATTAGCTGATTCATACACGTTGATCTTTTGAAACAAAACTTGCGAACTTGAATGTACATCATTATTGTTTTGTTGAAAAGGGTGGGTGTGGGTGTGGGGTGTGGTTCTGCGTGTGAGTCTTTATGAAGGTAATACATCCACATCCACAGCCACACCCTAAAATGAATCCATGAATGATGCTCCACGGACAATGGCTCCCGCGACAATTGCTCCCCAGGCAATTGCTCTCGTGACATTTGCTCCCCAAGGATAGTTGCTCCCCGAGGACAATTGCTCCCCGGACACTTGCTCTCCTATGACAATTGCTCCCTGGATATTTGCTTCCCAATGACAATATCAAATAATTCTTTTATGAATTACAAGAACAACGTATAACTTGATTAAATCAACATATAGAATACAACAATAGCAAAAGAGAGATTTTATTGATTATATAAATAATTGAAATATTATATAATTAAAAATAATAGCAGCAAAAGAACGACAGAAATACTAGTTTTAGAAAAAAAAGTGCTTGAGTACATGTATAATTTAAATCTAATATCATTCATTAATTTTAAGAGTAATAAGAAAATGTAAATTAAGAATCTTTTAATGTAATATTTTGAGCTGGAGCCATTACTTTTTCAAAGTTTGTTGTTGTTGGTTCATTTAATAGGTTCAAAATACGTGTTTCTCGACGAATCTGTTCACGTCTTCGTGCTTGTCTAACACCAGCTTCCGCTTGAATAATTTGAGCATCAACATAACATTGTTCTTTCTTTAAACCTTTTAAAAATTTCCAAAAATTCGGATAATGTTCCATCTAAATATATATAATTCGCATTTTTTAACATTTTTAATTGTTTCTTGGTTGAAAATATTAATATTCGTTGATCAATTGGACCAGAATCGAATTGTAAAAATGTTCGACCACGAGCTGTTTTTATGTATTGTGTATCAATAAGAAGTGAATCATGATTTGTTGGTAATGATAATGGATTTTGATGTCTTTGACGAATTCGTTGGACAATACGTTTAATGTGCTGTAAATTTGGTAGTGTTGAAATTGCATGATCAGATAATCTTGATACACAATCAGCCACAATATCATGCGTTGAATGACCAGTTTGTTTAGCTGCATCAATCATTTTTGTACGTGATGCAATTACGTCACCTACTAAATGAGATGGTTCATGGTTATGTTCACCAACTGCAAGTACAACTTGACCATCAATTGTATGAAGTCGACCGTGACATTGATTATGACGATAATTACGACAGCACCATATTATCTTGTTGTTATTTGATTTTTTATTAACAATATATATATAACCTTGATGTTCAAATATTGGTTTTCCTCTAGAAGTTTCCATCATGTAATAAATAAATATTTATTATGTAGAAAAAACGTTGATATGATTTCTTTTAGAAATGTTGAAAAATCAATTTAAAAAAAATAATGTCGAAATAAATACACAAATTCAGAGATCAAGCTATTTAAACAGATTAATTAATTAGAAGCTTAAGCTTGTCAACACGCTAGACATATTTTATTGGATTATCTTTGTTTTTGATGCATTTAATTAATTAGTTGGAGTGTATTTGTGTGAGATTAGAAAAACAATTTAAAGAAAATATAAAAACAGAACAGAACACTCATTTGGTGTCTCTTATTTATGTGATAATTCCTTTCATAATAGAGTATTTTCCTATTTTATTTGTTCTATGTTCTTCATATATTCATAGATTCATGTTACCACCTTTTGAAGTGCCGATAAAACTGTAGTAAAGTTAGCTATATATTTAAAATCAATTCGTGAGCTTTCAGGAATCATAGATTCTGCACGAATTCCTAATTATCTAATTTTTTTCATTATTTTACCAATTTTTAAGTCTTTAAAAATTATATTGAATTTATCAACAAAAAAACCGTAGCTTGAGGTCTCGTGAAATTGGGGAGAAAATGTGATTGGGAAGGAAGTGTCCAGGGAGCAGATGTCATTAGGGAGCAAATATCTAGGGAGCAATTGTCATAGGAGAGCAAGTGTCCGGGGAGCAATTGTCATTGGGGAGCAAATGTCCTTGCGGAGCAAATGTCACGGGAGCAATTGTCGCGGGAGCAATTGTCCGGGGAGCATCCTTCGTGTTACCCAGTTACTCACATTAGAAGCGCAATGAAAACTGAAAGATATAACGATCATTCAACAACCTTCGGACATGCGTGTACATGAATGCTAATAACTCTGAAGATTTTTGAAAAATGAACAAGTTTTATGACCTAATACAGTGTATGGTGATAGAAGAGCAATTCTATTTTGACGAGAAATCAATAATTATATGTCGACGCAAAAACTGAATTCCCGCATCACGCACTATCGATACTGCAAAACAGAAAAGTATTGTATGTCAACGAAGAATCGTTTTACCGTTGGCATTCGTGAATAGCTCGTTTTTCCACTGACATGAGCGGTTTAAAAATGATCTGATCATCTCACGGGTAGTCGCAGCTGACAGTTTCATATTTCTACGACAGTCATATGTCTTCCACAAACATGAAAGATCAGAACATTCAGGTATCTGCAAACATCACAGTCATCCATGATCTCGCATGATTCACTAAAACACTAAAAAGTTGTATTTGTATGAATCTCTCGACGCCATACATCTCTATGCATGCATTGTTGAGCTGCATTTATACGGAAAAATTGCAACTATTTCAAATGTCTTGCAACATCGCGCATGACTGCAGGTGCATTCCAAAAGCTTGTAAGTAAACCCATGCTTTAAAAAACATCTTGCAAATACACGCGCTTCTTTACACTTTCGCGTTTCACTGAGATTCCACAAACCAAAGCAACAAATAAAAAGAAAAATTCAACAAGATTCAAGATATAAAGCACATAAAAGATATGGAATTTAATCAAAAAGCAAG